GTTCCACCTCAGATCATCAGGCATTAGTTAGATTCTCAGAAAGAGCGTGTAACCTTGATTGTTCGCATGCACAGTTCACAATATGGTTCGTGTTCCTATGAGAATCTAAAGCCACAGCTGATCTGACAGGAGATGGAGCTCTGGTGGTAATGCTCCCTTGCCCACCACTCACCTCCTGCTGTGCGGCCTGGTTCCTAACAGGCCACATACTGGTACCAGGGCATGGCCTGCAGGTTTGGGGACCCCTACTATGGAGTCATGCACATAATATCACTGGTTTGGACTATGTAGAAAAAGATGCCTAAATTCGTGAGATTTTTTAATTACAGAATTTTGGAAAGAAATGTGATTAGTTTTATTTAGCCTTAATTGCATACAGTAACCAGAATTAAGCTACAATATGTTAACCCAGTAGAATAATTTTAAAGGGCCTGTTTAAAGTGGTCAGATTTTATGTTGGGAATGTGTTCTTGAAGGCTAATCTTCACTAGGAATAGCCAACATTTCTGTTTAATATCTAAAGTGGTACAGTCTCCATTGAAAGGCCTGCCAAGTTATGTAATTCTTAAAAATTCGATTTTCAACATATGAGGATATTTTACTTTAAATATTGTGCATAAATGACTTTATTTTATTAGTATTTTATGTTTTACCATTTCAAAGTCACACAACTTAAATTTGCATAAAATATGAACATCCTGAATATGGTATATTTAAAGTCAATGAAAAAAGTGATTTCCTCCCCAGGCTCTTAAACAAGTCAATTTGCTTAACAACCCTCTCCTGCAGAGAAGAATGAAAGGAAAATGTGAATCTGTCCCCATCTGTCTTTTCACTGCTGCAGTACATGTTTCTGCAGAGCAGAAGCTTGGATTAGGGACAGTAAGAGACTCCTAGAACCATGGAAAAAAACAGGGCCTCATGCCTAGCAGATAAGCACACCAAGCCCTCAGTAAATGCCATTCCTTCCCCATAGACACAAGGGTAGGCCACAGTGAACAGAAATGGCAAGCTCAAACAGACAACAGCATTCTCAAATGACAGAGATGAGCCTACCACCAAGAATCACCAACATCTGAGGGAAATCAGCACCAGCAAAGCAGGGCACCAAACTCACAGAATAACATGCACATATAGAAAAAAAAAAAAAAGACAGAACAAAACCCAATGTTTCAAACGAAGAGGGAAAGGGAGGATAACACATTCACAAGCAGGAAAAGACTTTTTTATTTCCTAGAAATGAAAAATAAAAGAGTAAGAATAAAAAAAAATTGGGGGGATAAAGCAGAATTCACATGACTGGAAAGAAAATGACCACGCTGGAAGTCTGTGCCGACAAATTCTTGAAGAACTCAGAACCACAGGGCAAAGAGATGAGAACTATGGGAAGTTGTGATATTTGAAAGCTAGGACTGCAAGGTCCAGAAAGAAAAAATAGACATGTTGGAAGTAAGAAAATTATTTTTTGGGCTGGACACAGTGGCTCATGCACGGAATCCTAGTACTTTGGGAGGCCGAGGCAGGAGGATCGCCTGATCCCAGGAGTTTGAGACCAGTCTGGGCAACACAGTGAGACTCCATCTCTATAACAAATTTAAAAAATTAGCCAGGTGTGGTAGTGTGCATGTGTAATTTCAACTACTTGGCAGGCCTTGAGGTGGGGGAGGATTGTTAAGTCCAGCAGGTCAAGGCTGCAGTGAACTGTGATTATGCCACTGCACTCCAGCCTGGGCAACAGAGTGAGACTAAGTCTCAAAACTAAAAATTAAACAAACAAATAAATAAATAAAATGATCACTTTAATAAAATAAAATGAGATCAGAGAAATGATCCATGTGATGACCCTTGAACTTGAATACATGTTTTCAGATTGAAATAGCTGACTGAGAGATTAGAATATATGAAAAAAAAATCTATACCTAGACTCATTAAAATCAAATTTCATAAAAACAAAAAAAGAAAAAAATCCTAAAAACACCTGGAAAGTAAAGAAAAGGTATGTCTAATAAGAGCTAAAAATCAGATTGGCATGGACATCTTTTCAACAACCCTGTATGCAAAAGACAATGGTGCAGTATCTTCACAGTTTTGAGAGAAAACTGTTAATGTAGAATGGTACACCCAGTCAGATGGCCGGGTATAGCAGGGCTTATAACCTGCTGGGCTTAAGTGATCCTCCAACCTGAGCCTCCTGAGTAGTTGGAACTATAGGCATGTACTACCACACTCAGCTGATTTTTAAAATTATTTATAGAGACAAAATCTCACTATGTTGCCCAGGCTGGCCTTGAACTCCTGGGTTCATTTTAACTGTGATGGCAAAGGAAAGACTTCAGAAAGCCCCCTAGTCCTGAATTCTTTCTAAAAGGTTTTTAGAGGATGACTACCAAAAGGAATCTAAGAACTAGACATGAATACAAGAAACAGTGATAGGCAAAGAAATAGGTATAATTTTGAGATAATTTAAATAAATGTTAATAAAAATTATTAATAACAATTTAAACAGAAATATCAGTTGATCTCCACAGTAGAAGTTGTAGAGGCGTGGGAGGCAAGGTAAAAGTATCCTAACATTCTTGACTAGAGAGAAAACAGAGAAAGAGGGAGACAAAGGAAAGCTTTTGATATTGAGAAAAATACAAATATTTAAATATCTGAATATACACTAGAGCTATTGAAGTACAATGCACAACTTGAGAAAGAAAATGGAAGCAGTAACAACAGTTAAACCAACAAAAAGAAAGAAAGGAAAAAATTAGGAAGTATAATAGAGAGGAAAAACAAAATAACAGGAGGAATAGCTCCAAATTATGGTAATCATGATAAAGATAAACTGGTTAAAGCAACTAATTAAAGATCAGGGACTGTGGGTTTAGCTAAAAAGGCAAAAGCAGCTATATCTTATTTATCAGGCCTATTCTTAAAACAAAATGTCTCGAGGCAGTTGAACTAGGAGAGGGAGAGAAAGATAATCAAGACAAAGGCTGATGGAAAAAAATAGCAAGACTAATTTCAGGAAAGGAAAAAAGAATACAAGGAGAAAAGTAATAAAAAGGACAAAGAGGAATATTTCCTATTGATAAAACATAAGACCCACTAGGATCAACTTGAGCTGCTTGGATAAAAGTGCTCTTGCCTGTCATTTTTGAAATCTTATTATCGTGGAATTTGTCACATCGGTGAACAGAATGAAGCCCCTGCCTTCATGGAGCTTTGTTTTAGTGGACACAAAAAGACACAAAAACCAATATAGAATTAAACTGTATAATATACTGGATGGTGATATGTGCTAAAAGAAATAAAAAACAGGGAAGGGTAATGGAGGTACAATTTTAAACAAGGTAGTACAGGAAGGCCTTACTGAGAAACCTGCCCTGTGCAAAGATTTCAAGTGGCTGAGGGAGAAACCAAGGAGATTTCTGAGGCAAGATAATTCCAGGCGGAGGGAACAGCAAAGAAAATGGTCACTGCATACAACTAAAACCGCATAAATTAATTGAGAAATAATGGAGAACCAGGAGAGTGTGATAAGTGAAGAAAGTATCTGGAACAGGACAGAGTAATTGGCTGTGTCAAAATGGCAGACAATAGCATGAGGACTGAGAAAGAATCCTTATTAAATTTAGCAACTAGAAGTCATGACTGACTTTGACAAAAACAATTTCAGTGATGCAGTGGAGGCCAAAACATAAGAACAGGGTTTAGGAGAGGGACTGAAGTATTGAATATAGTAGACCATTTCAAATGTATTTTCTATAAAGGAAAGTTGAAGAAGAGGGCAGTAACTGGAGGAGAAAGTGGGGTCAAGATGAGAGAGTTGATAGTGGGAGGAAAACCCAGGCATCTACGAAAAAGAAACTTAAGGTGCCCTTCCTGAATGATGTTAGGAAGTTTAAAAATAAAATGCATGAAACTAGCTATCTGAAAAATGACAGAACCCAAATGATTGCTAAAAAGAAGGGAATTTCAGAAATGTTTGACATCTAATCAAGGCAACCTGAATTTCACCTAAACAAGTGTTATTGGGTTGTGATTACAACTCTAAAATAGTTTAAGCCTACTTGATTGTGAGTTACCTAATGAAGGAAGACTATATTAAAAGGAGAAGGGCTTGGATCGCACAGGATTCATAAAACAGGGGTTTGAGAGACAAACTGTGGCACTGTGTTGCCAGTGATGTCCACTAAAAAGGGTGTACTGATGAGTAGATTTGAAAATTGGGATCATTTAGCAGATATATTTTTGCATTATTTAACTGTAAAGATAAATACCTCTTGGGATTACCATTAGGTCATTAGCATATCCAAATGATTTCATATCAGAAAGCATGCTTATTAACAGTAGATTTCCATACAGATTCCCTGTAAGAGGACGGTGTGCTTATCAAAGGGCTTGAGTGTCTAGTCCCTAGGAGACTGCCAGTACGTATTAATAAATTGGCATTCTGATCTATTTGGTACTCTCATGTGAGTCTGGTTCTAGCAGTCAGCAGCCTGGAATTATCTGGATGTATTAAAGCAAAGGGCCAAGCTTTGAAATGACACTGAGGTAGAGCAGGACAACCATTATTAGGCAGCCTCCCAGGTGCCACCCACACCTTATCCTTTGTCCACCTAACTATATGTCTGAAGTACTGTACTGAGGAAAGAACACCGAGCTTAATGGTCAGAAAATCATCTAGGACTCTGCCACCACTACCCATGCAACCCTGATTAGTGTCACTTAATTCCTGTGATTCTCAGTTTATATATCTTTTCAGATAGGAGTAACAATAGCTAGCCTATCTCATGGTGTCATTTTGTTTTGTTTTGTTTTGAGACTCAGAATCTAAATCTAAAACAAATGGTTACCTGCACAGAAAATATTAATGTTACCATCATTACATGTCCTTCAGCCTAAGTATGTAATTGATACACTTAAGCATGTTGCCACAATTACCTGAGAACTGAAGACAAAATGAAAAACCACTAGCCCACTGAACAAAATATGAAAAATCCTACCTCTCAGCAACTGGTTTGGCAATGTGTTCAAAAATGATCTCTTGGTTTGCATCCTGATCAAAAATTCCTTGAAATCTGCAATGTGAAAAATAATAATTATTTAAAAGCTGAGCCTCCAAACACTATCAGATTAATAAATCTTGTTTTTCTAAAAGCTTTATAAATTACCCCATATTTACATCACTGGGCTTACCTAACTTAGCACAATGCTTGCCCTGTAGTCTCAACCACACTGTGCTGTTGTACGCCTGTATACAAATGGTGGGTAAACAGTATTGCTTTGACAAGATCTGCACAATAAATCCCTCTGAAAAACTGCAGCAGCTTTGAACCAAATAACAAATTGTGTGCTTTTTAGCTCTCAAGAGGGACAGTGTCTACAATTGGCAAGAAATTCAAAACTAGATAGCTGCATGAAATGGAAATCCAAGAACAGGATGTAAACAGCCAAGGAACTTCTGATGTCTGGCCTGTGAGAAAAGAATGCAACTGTGAATTGTCTGACTATTGAATTTTGTTTTAGTATTTTGAACTAAAGTTTATTATTCCGCTAATTTGGTGCTACATCCTAGCATCAACCATTTAATTCTCAGGGCAGTTTTGGTTCATTTTGTTGACCATGAGTCAAAAGTCAAAAAGTAAATTAAGATAGACCTATCCTGCAAAGAGAAGGTTTAACCAGATTGGCAATGGCTAGGGGAAGGGGGTGGAGGTACGGTGTCAATTTCACTCTTCTTGCAATGCTACTGTGACTTAGCTTGTACTGGATTCCAAGCACAGTGGAATACTCAGGGTAGAAGACACAGAAGCTATTTTTTTTTTTCAAAGGGAGTCTCCCTCTGTCACCTAGGCTGGAGAGCAGTGGCGCTATCTTGGCTCACTGCAACCTCCACCTCCTGAGTTCAAGTGATTCTCTTGCCTCAGCCTCATGAGTAGCTGGGATTACAGGCATGCGTCACCATGTTTGGCTAATTTTTATATTTTTAGTAGAGGTGGGGTTTCATCATGTTGGCCAGGCTGCTCTTGAACTCTTGGCCTCGTGTGATCCACCCATCTCAGCCTCTCAAAGTGCTGGGATTACAGGCATGAACCATGCACCCCGCCCAGAATCTATTCTTTTACAGTGTGCTAAGTTGTGACCAACAAGTATGGCCCCCATTAAGACATCATGATAATATGATAGCATTTCTACTTCTTTCCTTTGATGATATAGTGTGTGTACTTTTTAAATTATGCAAATTAAAATAGATTTTATCCTGAAAAAAAAAAAAAAACCATGATAATAAAGAGAGACAGAGAGAAAGCAAATTGGCCCAAATATTAACACAAGGTGAATCTCCCACAAAAAGTATACGTGTGTCGGCTGGGTTATTTTTCTAACTTTTCAAAATAAACTTTTCCAAATTTTCAAAATAAAAATCGAGGTGGAAATTTTAAAGCAAACACTTTAAGCAAACATTTTGAGGTTATCCTAAGCAGCTTTCAGAGCGGCTTAGGAACCTTTGGTTTACATGCTTGCCTCCGTAAGTGAACTGGGCACATGGTCAATTAGAGATTGTAAGTGAAATGTAAGACCACTGGAGAGTTCAAAACGATGTCGAAAGCTGAACTGGAAATATAAAATGGAATGAAATTCATCATCTTTAACCAACATGAACTTCAAAAGATCTCTACAGCTGCCCTACCTCCATTTTAGAGAAGCAAAGAATGAACTATACAAAGCAATAATCTAAGGGGCTCTGGGTAGTATGTCATTTATCAGGGAAGACTGTATTTTAGACAATAATATTTACTGTTTAGTATACCCAGACTGCTTCTCAAAACTCTATAGAGGTATCACAGCTTCAGATAAGAACACCAACATAACACAGCGATCAACGTAACACATAGCTGCTGAACTGCTCTTCAGAGCACTGTGTAGTATGAGGCCTGAACACATATTCTCAGCTTTTGAGAATGATGATAAGGCTGTTTCACTTCTTTTATCAGATGAGTGATGACTGAATGAATCAATTAGCCATCTTCTACCCCACTTCCTTAAAAAAGAGTAATTATATCCACCACCATGTAAATAAAAGAGATGGCAGAAGTTTTAAAGAAAGCAGCAAATCACATGCAGGATATCTTCTGAAAGGTACCTTGCATAAAATTAATTATAGCATTTTCATTTCTAATTGACCTATTCATTCCACAAACACATACTGAGGGCCTACCATGTACCAGTCACTTCCAACAAGATTTAAATGAAACTAAAATATAATTTTAGTATAACATCTATAAAGCATATTGAATTCCTTGGGTAAAAATGATATCCTCCACTATTTAAAATAATAGGTGATAGAAACACAAGCAATCCAGATCTCCCTTTTAATTGACTGCCCCCGCCCCACATTTTAGAATAAAGATTTTAGCACCTGAGTTTATAATAAATCACTAAGTGTATATTAAACATCAAATGTCATCATCCCCAAATATTGCACTTTATACAATGTAGTTGCATAGTAATCTGAAAGGCATTTTGATCGGCTGTCTTCTGGAAACCACTGAAGAGCAGAATAGAATCCCAGAGTTAGAAGGGATTTTAACGGGTTCAGTCTAATCATTAACAGAGGAAGAAGCTGAGATCCACAGAGATAAAGTAATTACTCATAGTCTGAGAGCTCATCAATAATATGCCTGAGGTTTCCTGATTCTTAGGTGGTCTTTTCATTTGTTAGGAAATTGTGTAGGATTTTTCTAAACTCTATTTCAAACTCAGCATATGCTGACTTCTTCCCACCCTAAGGAATGGTACACTTCTGTGTTCTTCCTCACCCCAGAAAGTAACAGCTCTATCCTTCTAAATGTTCAGTCCAGAACCCTCAGGATCTTCTTGATTCCTCTGTTTCTGCTACACTCTATATCCAATCCATCAGCAAATGCTGTCAGCTGAGACCTTCCAAATACATCCAGAATTCAATTATTTCTCAACTTTTCCATTGTCACCACTTTGGTCCATGCTACCATAGTTTCTTGCCTGGTCTCTCTTGCAATAGCCTAACTAGTCTCCTTTTCCCTGTTTTCTACATGTCTACAAGAGTAATCCTGCTAAAACATAAGTGAGATACTTTCATTCCTCTGCTCAAAACCCTCCAAAAATTCCCATGGCACTTTGGGGAAAACCACAAGTCCTCGCAATGACTTAAAAGGCTCCATGTAATCTGGCCACTCTGCCACCTCTTTGACCTATCTTTCTCCCCTCTACCTCTTGCTTACTCTACTCCAGCCACATAGCTCTTTTCACTTTTCCTCAAACATGCTGGGCATTCTCCCCATTAGGGGTTTCACTCTTGCTATCCCCTTGGCCTGAAAGTCTCATCCCTCAGATACCTGAATGGCTGGCTTCCTCACCTCCATCAAATCTTTGCCCAAATATTCCTTTACTGTACGCCTTTCCTAACCTACTAAATGTTGCAACCATTCCTTTCCTTTGCCCCCTTCATCCCAGCACTTCTCATTCCCCTTCTCTGTCACACTTTTCTCCACGGCATGTAGCACCTTCTGACATGGACATTTTGCTTATTGATCTTCTCCTCTATCTCCTCTCACTAAAATGTAAGCTCCCTATGAGCAGGAGCTTTGTTGTGTTCCCTGCTGTTATTCCTAGCAATTAAAACAGCACACAGTGGGTAGCCAATAAATATTTATTGGTTGAATAAATGTTCTTGGGGGAAAAACAGCCTTTAAAATGCTTAAATATTTATCTCTGAACATATGTGTAAGTTGAATATTTTATTAATTTTAAATTTTGAATATTAAAACCAGTATTTTTAATTCAGAGATTTAAAAATAAGCCAATGGTGCTTTTCCAACAATTGCACTCTGTATCTATATAATGTAAAGAATACTTTGGAAAGGATCCACAGATAGAGACATAATAAATTGTTCTTATCAATCAAATGGAATCATGCTGAATAAAATATTTCAGCAAACTGTTGTTTTATATAACAGATTTTGGCCTAGGCCAGCTGGCATCAGGTCACAGTTATGAAGGTATGTAACATGCTTACATCAGTGGGAGAATGTCCCCTTCAGAAAAAGCAAAGCAGGGGCCAGGAATAACAGCTCACTCCTATAATCCCAGCACTTTGGGAGGCCAAGGAGGGCCAGATCACTTGATCCCAGGAGTTCAAGACCAGCCTGGGCAACATGGTAAAACCCAGACTCTACAAAAAAAAAAAATTAGCTGGACATGGTAGTGGACACATGTAGTCTTGCTACTTGGCAGGTTGGGGTGGGAGAATCACCTGAACCTGGTAGGTCAGGGCTGCAGTGAGCGGAGATTGTACCACTGCACTCCAGCCTGGGTGACAGAGTAAGACCCTGTCTCAAAAAAAAAAAAAAGAAAAAGAAAAAGTAAAAGTAAAAGAAAAAGAAAGAGGAAAAAAAAGCACAGGTTATAGGGCTATTCCTTAAAGGATATAATGAAAGGCAATGGGGAGACACTAAGACAAGGTGAGGACCTCCCCACTAGGCAACAATAGGTTAGCAAGCCCTGCTTGCACTTACTATAAAAGAAGACAATAAGAAAATGGGATGGAAGTGGAGGGAGAGACGTGTATTACAATGAAAGACAAAAGACAGAGTTAAGAAGACCAGCAAGAAATCTTTATGACACAACAAAAAGGCAAATAAGAATTTAAAAAGAAAAAGTCCAGACACAGCAGCTCATGCTTGTAATCCCATCACTTTGAGAGGCCAAGGCAGGTGAATCACTTGAGGTCAGAAGTTTGAGACCAGCCTGGCCCACATGGCGAAACCCCGTCACTACTAAAAATACAAAAATTAGCTGGGCATGGTGTCAGGTGTCTGCAATCCCAGTTACTTGGGAGGCTGAGGCAGGAGAATTGCTTGAACCCAGGAGGCAGAGTTTGCAGTGAGCCAAGATTGTGCCACTGCACTCCAGCCTGGGCAACAGAGTGAGACTCCATCTCAAAATAAAGAAAATAATTTAAAAAGAAAAAGAGAGAAAGAGAGAGAGGAACAACAAAAAAATCTGAGATAATTTTATACAAAGGCCAAAGGCAGGAATAGTCTCAAAACCTGGCCTTTGTAAAACAATCTAGAGATGCATTGTAGAGGACAATTAGAACTATTTCAGAGGATCCAGAAATCCATCACCAAAGTTTGGGCCAGAGATCAAAGATGGATTTAATTTGGGCTCCAACTTCTCCGGAAATCAAATGTGGAGATTAAAAGAAATAGATTAATCTAAAACTGGAGAATAAAAAGAATGTGAAGTAGCTATACTCCCTACATTCAAGGCCTAGCTACTAAAAGAGTATTCAGACCCAAGGCACTGATGACCATCCAAGGGTAGCTGTTTGGTATTTTTCAACTGAGCCATTATAGTTTAGCACTACCCAAGAGAAATATAATGGCATCCATAAATATGAAAGCATATGTAATTTAAAATTTTCTAGTAGCCATGTTTTTTAAAAAGCAAAAAGATTAGTTGGCATGGTGGCGCATACCTGTAGTTCAAGCTATTCAGGAGGCTAAGGTGGGAGGATCACTGGAGGCCAGGAGTTCAAAGCCGCAGTGAACTATGACTGCACCACCGCACTCCAGCCTGGGAGACATAGTGGGACCCCATCTTTCAAATTTAAATTAAAATAAAGAAAAATTTAAGAAGCAAAACGAAGCACCTGGAATTAATTTTAACAATCTACTTTTAACCAAGGTTAAAAGTTTCATATACCAAAATGTTATAATTTCAGTAAGTAATCAATATGAAAAAAGTCTTGAGATATTTTAGATTCTTTTTTCTTCATGCTAAGTCTTCAAAAATCTTTCATATGTTTTATACCTGACAGCACATCTCAGTTCGGACTGGATATATTTCAAGTGTTCAAGAACGACATGTGGCTTGTGGCTATTACATTGGACAGCATAGATATAAAGTGTACATATGTGCATATGAGGTCCAAATATCATATATATTATAAAGAAGGCTCACCCCTACACAGCACACAGATGATACTGTAAGTTCTTACCTTCAATGAAGTTTAGTCATGCATTGGAATTTTCTGTAAGTGCTAAACCACAGTGTATTGAATAGGAAAACACTAAACAGAGGTAGCCAAGAAAGGCCGGAATCTTGAAATACAATTTCAGATATAGAAATACACGCTCTTTTTGATCTTGGCCACAGCAGGGAAAAAAGAACTTGAGTTCAATCTAGTAGGTGAGACAGACAGCTGTGTTGCATTTTCCACAAGAAATAGTGCTAATGATTTCACAATAAATATTAATGCAGTACAAGAATTAGTTCAATAATGAAACAGAAATGAAAAAGGAGAAAGACAAACTTACTTAAATTTGTAGCTTTCTCGCTTATTATTCACAAACCCATCTGCCAAATCACGTGGTACAATAATTTCCAAGCTAGGTATTAATTTTTCATCTTGGTCTATGGAGTAAATCTGCAAATGTGAAGACAACAAATGGATACAGAATGGTGAAATTATGGCTTGAACTATGACCATGTTATATGACTTGTAATGATATGAAAATTATACTCTTTAAGATTGAAAAGTCATAATATAATTTGAATAATTTTTCTTTTTGAACTGTGTGTTGATTCAGACAAATAGATGGAACCGAACCACAGGTGAAACATAAATTAATGCTGTATCAAAGTCAGGTCATCCATCTTTGAATGTTCTCACATTCACATGTGAGCATTTGAGTATCTCTGTTATTCCTGTCATTGAGAAAGTAATAGCCCTGAAAGCAACCTTTTTTCTAAGTATTGCTTTAGTATGATGTATCAGGAGTTAACATTTTACTACAGTCAATAAGCATTTCTGAGCATTTACAAAATACCAGAGATAAAAGCCATCTCAGATAGCTCACCAAGAATGCTCTAATTCAAGTTATGTTCAAAGATGCCTAAGGTTCCATGAGACATTTTCAGGCATTTTATGAGACACATGTGGCTTCAAAAGACACATGTAATTCATGTATTTGATGTCATTTTCAAGGTTCTCATTCCAGCTCAGCCACTAATTAGAAAGCGACCTGGGAGAAATCCTTTAACCTCTCTAAGCTGATATGGAAATAGAGGGTCTTAACCAACACCCTTAGGACTATAACGTTCTCTCATTCTCTTCCTGGTTTCCTACTCCATCATTTATTGGCCAGGAAAATCAAGAGTCAAGCCTATGAAGAGGTCATGTGGAATAAATAAAAGCATAAGATTTGGTGTCCCAAGACTTGGGTCCAACACTGAGCTCAATTTACCAGCTGTGTGACCAGCCACCACTTTCAGAATTGAAGTTTCTTATACATAAAATGAGGAAAACAGAATTACCTCCCTTACAGGATTGCTGTGGGGATCAAATGATGTAATGGAAATGGAAGTATTTTGTAATGCACAATAAAAAAAGTTAGTCATTAGGTTTAGAGATTTTTTTTTAAAAAAATAAGCCTTCTTGTCTTTTACCAGGAAATAAAATTCTTTCTAACAGGCAATACTTCCTGTTTAAGACCGATTTCGATGTCTGATTATGGGGGAAAAGTCATATTCCTAAGCAAGTAAAAGCCTCCCTAAATCTCCAGAAAGATTGAATAATTTCCTAAGTGTATTTTTATTGAAACCTCTCATTGCAAATGTGAAGACTTCATACAGAAAAGTCATTACATAAATTATTTGTAGAAAGCAATGGCATCAGGTTCAAGGCTTTCTGACTAGGTTTTCTCAAGAGACATTTTAAAATTATATCCTGTTGGGCACTATATTAAAAAAAAAAAGTTTAATAGCCAGACAGGTGAGTGAAGGGGGTGTATAAGACATGAAACATGCAAGAGTGAGGAGTTACATCCATTTTTAAAATTTCTGTATTTCTCTGCTCAGCAGACAGAAAACCATATTAACTGCAGTTAATGACCCTCCATTATTCTGATTAAGACACTCTTTGAGGCCTTAAGAAAATTCCCTTAGAACCAGATGACTTGTTTAGTGTAACATTGGCTTTCTATCCTTAGTCATTTTATATATATACAAAATCATCTATATATATATGTGTGTGTGTGTGTTTGTGTGTGTGTGTGTGTGTGTGTGTGTGTGTGTGTGTGTATTTGTGATGGAGTTTCCCTTTGTTGCCAGGCTGGAATGCAGTGGTGCAATCTTGGTTCACTGCAACCTCCACCTCCCAGGTTCAAGTGATTCTCCTGCCTCAGCCTCCTGAGTAGCTGGGACTGCACCCAGCTAATTTTTCTATTTTTAGTAGAGACAGCGTTTCACCATGTTGGCTAGGTTGGTCACAATCTCTTGACCTTGTGATCCGCCTGCCTCAGCCTTCCAAAGTGCTTGGATTACAGGCATGAGCCACTGTACCCAACCAATCATAAAAACATTATTTGAGAGGGAAGTTATTTTTTTAGAAGACAAAACAAATGCAAAGATGAATATGAAAATGTTTTGAAATGTATAAAGCACTGTACAAATGAAAAGCATTACCACTGTTAAAACTACCAGAGATTAATTTATATATCATTTTTATTAATCTATGTTATTATAATTTATGAAGCTTTAAAGAACAAAAGTAACGAGGTAATGAAGATACAAAATGAAAAGAAAAAAAAACCCTTTGAGTCACTCTCAAATACTACAAAAAGAATTTCTAGTCAGAGGAAGAACTCTACAATCTTTTTTGGACAAGAAGATATGGCATTAAACATGGGTTTTTTAAGGGAGAACAGGGACATACTAATTCAATATTTATTCATTCCCATTCTCTTTGTGTGTGTGTGTGATACCTAAAAATATGACACCTAAAACTTCTTCTGGAGGATCAAACAATCCACTCTACAGACTCACCAAAGAAATACAAAATGAAGCACATTAAAATATCCAAACACTGCATTTTAAGTGAAAATAAAGTTCAATATTAAATCCAAGACTCTCCATCCACTTCGCTGAGCCTTAGTCATTTTTAGAAAAGCCATTTTCTAATCTTAGTCATAAAAATGTACCCCTACCCATTCTGTCTTTTGACCTTATCCCAGCCTGTGCTATGACTGCTGAGTCCATGTAGATAAGCTCAACAGTTTAAGCTAAGAATCTGAGGGGAAATGTTACATATAATACACTCTTTACATACGATGCACTCTAAAAAGAAATCCATGTAATTGATTATTAGAGGAAAGAATATGGGAAGATAACCATGGTTCATTCTACACTACTTTATTCCTGTTTTAAATACATGAATTATATGAGGCAAATGCTTAATCATGAGATGCTATGATGTTCCACTAAACATATACACAGTATGTATATATATATATGGGAATATTATTAATATGCCCACTGCATGAATATGACCCAAATTGCCCTTGCCTAAATTCTCACTTTGGGAATTTAGGAGTTAACATTTTAGTACCAAAAAAAAAAAAAAAAGTTTCCAAAGAGGGGATAGCTTTGGAATCAAAAAATCCTTAATTAAAATTACAGCTCTGCCACTCACCAGCTGGATGCCTTGGTCACATTATTAACCTGAGACTCAGTTTCCTAATCTGTAAAATGAGGAAGATGACACTAACCTTGCAGGGTTTTTGTGAGAATGAGAGATAATGAATATAAAGCCCTTGTCAGGTGGCCATTTCTCAAGATACAAAAGAATGACTATGCTCCCTTCTAGGCAGAAGAGAGAATGTTTTGAAATATTTAAGAAGCATACAAAGTATCATTGCTTAGAGCCAGGGCAATGTCTTAACCATCTTTGTACCTTTCTGAATTTAGCACACTAGAGGAAGTACCTAGTAAATATTTAGTTAATGGTTTCTGAATGAAGTACACATACGTATTCTTTGGGTCAGGATGTATCCATCTGTATCTACCTGTACCTATTAATACAAGGAGCACATGTAAAGGTTCACGTTTGTGTTGGAGAATGACAACAGAGTCAACAAATTACTGAGGTCTCACTGGGTGCAAAGTACTAAATATATGTATGCTTTGTGCAATTGTGTCTATCTATATTTGTATTATTTCAGACGTACACAAACTTGCATCTCTTGCTTGCACGTTTTGTCTGAGTGCCAAAACGTACCGTTGAGTGTATCTGCGTATGCGGTGCTGCATGGGTTTCCCAGAAAGGTGCAGTGAGTGCTTATGTGTAGTTGAAGCGCACACTGAACATGGCACTAGTGTGAAAGCTCCGTGCCGGGTCTGCGCCGCGCCAGGTGGGAGTGGCCTGGCTGTCGGTCGCGTCCCTGACCGCAGTGCGCCGGCGTCTTCGCGGCTGCAGGGCGCCTCGGTCGGTGTGTGCGGGAAGCCCCGCCGGCAAGCCCCTCACCTCCGCCCAGCCCCTTCGCATGCCGCCCGACCCCGGCCCAGGAAGCCCCGCCGCCCCGGCGCCCCGGAGGCTCCAGCCCGTACCCCTTGTTGGTGCTTCCGGACAGGGGGTTTCACCCTCGCGAATATCTGGATCGTCTGCTTCACCATCTCCTCCCTGGCTCTGCAATGACCCTCGACGTCTCTCAGGCACGGGCTGCCAAAACTAACTCCCACCACCTCAGGCGACCCACAGTCTTAGCAACAGTAGCTAGGGACACTACCCAGTGAGCACCGTGGCAGCCCGGATCCCGCCTCCTCCCTTAATTGGTTGCGACGCTAAGGGAGCCGCTAAGGGGCGTGGCCAGGGCGGGGGGGGGGGGGGGAGAGCGCTGCGCATGCGCATGAGCGAGCATCTGGGCTGTGGGCTCTGGGCGCCCGAGCAGGCCTGGACAGTGATTAAAAGGGGGACAACCACCATGCCTTGTCCCGCCCCGCTCCCTCACCCTTTTTTTTTCTCCATGCCCTTGCCTTTTAAAAGAATACAGCACTGGGCTGGGCGCGGTGGCTCACGCTTGTAATCCTAGAAGTTTTGGGGAAGCCGAGGTGGGAGGATCACTTGGAGCCCAGGAGGTTGAGGCCAGCCTGGGCAGCATAGTGAGACCCCGGCTCTACGAAAAAATACAAAAGTTAGCCAGGCATGGTGGCACGCCTGTATCCCAGCTAATCGGGAGGTTGAGGCGGGAGGATCGCCTGAGCTCAGGAGGTCGAAGCTGCAGTGAGCCGAGATTGCAAAACTGCTCCGGCCCACTTGGAGATCACGGTCTGAAAAGGGAGACAGATTTTTTTTTTTTTTCTTCACAAGGCCTTTCAGGTGACACAGAAACAGATTTTCAACAGGAAATCAAAACCGAGGAATAAAAGCTGTGCTATGATGGAAGTAGAAGTGAGCCAGCTCTGTTTTGGAAAAGGATAAAACTGGACGAAGGGTACTGTTTCCCATGCAATAGGCATGGCAAGACAGGACGAGCTTTTCAAACACTGTTAGAACATGACAAGATAGTCAACATTATTATCCACATGGGAAATATAAATTAAAACCACAATGAGACATCACTATTCATCTATCAGAATGGCTAAAAAAAAAAAAAAAAAAAAAAAAATAGTGGCAGCACCAGATGCTGAAAAAGATGTCGAGAAACTGAATCAGTTGCATTTTACTGGTAGGAATGTATGATGTAAAACATACACTGTATAAAGGTACAGCCACTTTGGAAAACATTTGACAGTTTCTTTCAAAACTAAAGGTGCAGCCATTCTAACACGCAGCAATTGGACTCTTAAGCATTTATCTCAGATAAATGAAAATGAGCACACATTTTTTTGTATGTGCTCGAGTCACACGAAAACCTAGACATGTGTGTTTATAGTTTATAGCACCTTTATTTGTAATAGTCCCAAACTGGAAAAAACTCAGATGTCCTTCAGCTGATGGTTAAAAAAAAAAACATGGAATACCATTCAGCGATTAAAAAGGGAGGAAGTGTTGATACATATAACAGATTGGATGACTTTTCAGGGAATTATGTTTCATGAAAAAAGCCAGACTCAAAGGTTAAATATTGTATGGTTCTATTTGTATAACATTCATGAAATGACAAAATTATAGAGATGGAGAGAAATTAGTGGTTGCTAGGGAGGTATGCAGGGTATAGTTATAAAAGGTATCCTTGTGATGGGCTCTTCTGTATCTTGACTGTGATGGTGGTCACAGAAATCTACACACGTGATAGGATTGCATAGAACAAAATACATACGTATTTTGAATACGTATTCAATATTTGAATACATATTCAAATAAGCACACGTAAAACTGGCAAAAGTCAAATAAAATTGAATGAGATTGATGGATTGAATCAATGTCAATTCCCTGATTTTGATATTGTACTATAGTTATGCAAGATGTTACCATTGGGGAAAACTGAGAGACAGGTATATGAGTTCTCTGTATTATTTTTCACAATTGCATTGAATCTACAATCATCTCAAAATAAAAAGTTTATTAAAGACACCTCGGTTTTTTGTTTGTTTGTTTGTTTTTTGTTTTTGAGCCAGGGTCTTGCTCTTGTCACCCAGGCTGGAGTGCAGTGGCATGAACATGGCTCACTGCAGCCTCAACCTCCTGGGCTCAAGCGATTCTCCTGCCTCAGCCCCACAAGTAGCTGGGCTTATAGACATGCACCATCACACTGAGATAATTATTGTATTTTTTGTAGAGTCAGGGTTTTGTCATCTTGCCCAGGCTGGTCTTGAACTCCTGAAGTCAAACAGTCCGCCCACCTCAGCCTCCAGAAGTGCTGGAATTACAGCCATGAACCACTGCACCTGGCCAAAAGACCCTTAAGAAAACAAAAAGACAAACTACAGACTGGGAGAAAACGTTTGCAAAACACGTATCTGATAAAAGACTCGCCTCCAGAATATATACAAACTCTTAAAAACCTAATAATAGAAGAATAATTCATTTGTTTAAGGTGAAGGGAGGGCACACAGATTGGAACAGATGCTTCACCAAAGAGGATCTATGAATGGCAAATAAGCACACGAAAATATGCTTAATGTCATTAATCATTAAATGAAATTAAATTAAAACCACAATGAGATACTACTACACATCTCTTAGATTGGCTAAAAATAAGAATATAAAACTGGCAATACTAAGTGCTGACATGGATGCAGAGCATCTAGAGCTCTTGAACATCACTGGTGAGAAAACAAGATGGATCAGCCACTTTGTAAAATAGTTTTGTAGTTTCTTATAAAATTATACATGTACTTATCATATGATCCAACAATCCCACTCCTTGTTATTAACTCAAGTGAAATGAAAACTGTGTTCACATGGAAACCTAAACATGAATGTTTATAGTGGTTTCATTCACAATTGCCAAAAACTGAAAACAAAGTAATGTTCTTCAACTGGTAAATAGAAAAACAAACTAAAAGGAATGAATTACAGATGCCTACAACTACATGGTTAAGTCTCACATTTATTATGCTGAGTGAAAGATACCAGACTCAAGGTTGCATACTTTATAATTCCATATATACATATGGAATTATATGTATATATATATGTATATATATGTATTTATATATATATATGTATATATATGTATTTATATATATATATATGTATATGACATTCTAGAAAAAGAAAAACTGTAAGGATAGAAAACAGATCAGTGGTTTCCAGGCGCTGAGGGTAGGAAAAGGGGCTGACTGCAGATGAACATGGGAGAGTTTTTTGTGGGATGATGGAACTTGCTGCATATTTTGATTGTGGTTGTGGTAACATAACTATAAGCGTTTGTCAAAACTCATAGAATTATCTATACACTTAAAAGTGTGAATTATACTGCATATAAACTGTACCACAATAAAAAAAGCAAAAAAAGAAGAAGGAGAAGGAGAAGAAGAAGATGATGATGATGATGATGATGATGATTGAGTATGAACAGGTCCTGCAATATCAGGAATGGAGAAAAGAAGAAAACCAGGTATTTATTATATAGACTTCAGGGACTTTTTCACCTAGTGAGAAAGAGGTGACTCAAGATTGGGTGCAGGTAGTCACCTGGACAGGCAAAATAGATGGGAGTGGGGAAAAGGAGGAAATAAGGAGTTGGGGACATGTTAAATTTCAATTGCTGTGGGACTTCAGAAGTAGTTGTATAAGGTTTAGGAGTAAGTTATGGTGGAAATATAGGCTTGGGAGTCATCATGAAGTTTTTTCCAGAAAGTGACCAAGTCACGCATGAGCACCGAGGTTGAAATCCTAACACTGATGGTTGGAGGTGGAGGAGGGGCTGCAAAATAAGTTGAAGGAAGCAGCCGAAGAGGTCTGAGAACGAAAAGGGAATGTTATGCCCTGGAAGCCAAGGGAAGAGAACATTCTGAGAGGAAAGTATTCAAAGGTGTTGAATAGTAAAGAGGATACACTGAAAAACACCCATTTTCTTCAGCAGCTAGAAGATCATTAGTAATGTAGATTTCAGTGGATTGGTGGTGTCAGAAGTCAGGTTGCCAGAGGCTGAAAAGTAAGTGGGAAGTTAGGAAGTGGAGGCAGTCAAGATTGGCTACTTTTCCCAGAAGCCTGGCTGTGAAGGATTGTGAAGAAGCAAAACAGGTGAGAGCTAGAGGAACCCAGCGAACCGGTAGTCTTTGTCCATATCCAAAGGGGTGTATCTAAAAAGGGGAGGTTGACAGTATGGGGAATAGAGAAGAGAATGGATGTATTCTCCAGACGAGAGCAATTGCACTTTACCAAGAGGGTGTAATGGAAGGTGAAAAGGCCAGGTAGCCAAGGGTATTCACAAGGAGCATTTTAATCATGAAGTCTAGCTGCTTAAAGATACCTGTGGCCTTTGAAGGAGCGTTGCAAAAGGAAGAAGGGAAATCTATTGGTTCAGGATGTGGGACTTTTAACAATTCCTATCTTGAGCCCTGGGTCATATGATTAAATGTTTTCTTGGAGAGAAAGTGTGGGTTCCAATCCTGCCTCTGTCATTCCCAAATCCTGTGTTCATGTTTACTTGTGTGACCTTGGGCAAGTAATTTATGCTTTTAAATCTCAGTTGCCTCATCCAATAAATGAAGATAAATAATAACAATAGCTACCTCATAGGGTTATCATGGAGATGTAATGTGGGCATAACATGATTTCTGGTGAATACAGAATGGTCATATCCAAAGGGTTCTGACTTGTGGATTGAATTCCTTTGATTGTAAACACCATCTAAAGAGCAGAAATAATGGCATACATATGCTTATAAGACATATTGGAGGCTGGGCACAGTGGTCCATGCCTGTAATCCCAGGACTTTAGGAGGCCGAGGTGGATGGATCACAAGGTCAGGAGATCGAGACCATCCTGACCAACACGGTGAAACCCCGTCTCTACTAAAAATACAAAAATTAGCTGGGCGTGGTGGTATGTGCCTGTAGTCCCAGCTACTCTGGAGGCTGAGGCAGGTGAATTGCTTGAACCCAGAAGGCAGAGGTTGCAGTGAGCTGAGATGGCACCACTGTACTCCAGCCTGGCTACAGAGCAAGACTCCATCTCAAAAAAAAAAAAAAAAAAAAAAAAAAAAAAAAAAAAGACTGGAGATTGCAAACTCAAATATCTCCTGGGGCCAGACTGATGATGTAAATTCATCAAGTAGACAAGCATATGGCAATAAGGAATGTCTTGGTGAACTGGAGACTAGTGACCCAATGAAAACCATTCACATTCAAAATGGCT